GTGAGAAAAACGAGCATTTAGGTTATATATGTACCCGGCGTAGCTCGGGTGAAAAATCCGAGGCTACGTCGTTGGAGGTATTTTCACTACACGCGATCTTCATCCCTCTAACCATCTTAATCAACAAGTAGCAAACAGTATGCGGGACAAATCTTAGTAAATATGGTGTATGTTATTTAGCCGTAAGCGAGTTAGGAATGTCAAATCTTTCAAACAAACACACAAACACACACACACTAACAAGTGGAATGCATTAGGCAGTGATGTGGTGGAGGCTGACTCCATACGCAGTTTCAAATGTAGATATGATAGAGCCCAGTAGGCTCAGGAATCTGTACACCAGTTGATTGACAGTTGAGAGGCGGGACCAAAGGGCCAAAGCTCAACCCCCGCAAGCACAACTAGGTGACTACAATTAGGCGAGTACGCACATCTGATCCCGACCTGCCTACGAGTGTCCCCCACCAGGTCACCCTGCAGGGTTGGGCTAGGCTAGCTCCAAGCAGTCTGGCCTCCGACATTGGAGAGAGAAAACCACATTCTCTTTTATAGACATGATGAGGCAGAGTCCACCACTGGACAGTGCAGGTGTCAAACACTGGTGTCAAGGTGTCGCCTCGCAGGTGTCAAACACTGACCGTACACATCTGCCACGGTCGGGGCGGACTGCTGTGTCAACTGGTAGCATCAGATGACCATATGACACAATCAGAAGCTAGGTAAACAAGAACAAAATATGCAGCACAAACGAGGAAATAAATGGTAAAGTGCAGACTGTTGCGCTAAATTAGTGTAAGAGGAAACTCTTGAAAATAAACAAAATGTCATCATATCTGGTGTGTGTTCGACACGTGCATTTAAGTAAACATTCCATTAGTGTTGGGTGAATAGAGAGGAAAAGTTAAGGGTTGGCGTCTAGTCAATCCTTCCTGGTCAGGACTCTAACCCAAACCAGATCGCTCGCGGAAGGAGGAGGAGGAGGAAGAGGGGAGTGTTACCACAACACAACCAGGGACTATGTGGTATGTTAATGTCTCACACCCTCACCCATTATCTTCTTGAGTGTCCGTTGATTAATGTATATATTTTTTTGAGATATATACAAGAGTTGTTACAATCTTGTACAGGCACTAGTACGCGTAGCGTTTCGGGCAGGTCCCTGGAATACGATCCCCGCCGCGAAGAATCGTTGTTACAACCAAGTACACATTTTACTGTTGCGTTAAACAGAGGCTACAGTTAAGGATTTGCGCCCAGTAAATCCTCCCCGGCCAGGATACGAACCCATGACAAAGGGCAATGTGTGAAGTAAAACATGTGTATGGGGCAAGTAACAAAGTCAGTAGACTAACAGATGTTGTCACAGCTCGTATAAGACTTGGCTACAAGTATCTCTGGCAGTTCGGCTTGTATAGGGATCTAGATGAAGTAAAGTGTAAAGTGTGTGGACATAGGCAGGGACACACACTCGAACACTATATCTTGGATTGTAGTAAAATTGAGCCTTTTAGAGATAAATCTAAGCTCACTCTGTATGATATGGCAACCTATCTTATTACCATGGATAAATTACCTGAAATCCTTGCACTGTACCCACATTTTGCTTCCAGTAGATGAACGACATATGAGATTCAGAAACAAGTAGTGTATTGTGAGGACTAATAATAAACAGAAGCTCCCCTATGACTCTGTAATATCCCCATTGGCCAAACTATTATGTATTAGCGATAAAACCTACCATTAATGTATGATGACTTACTGTAAATATGTAGCTCTTGTAATAGCACTTTCTCTGTAACTAGCTGACATTGAATCTATAAGGTGTGAAGGATTGAAGAAATTGTTTATGTAATAATCTAAGATGAGGTCTGATAAAGACCTTTTGTGCCCTCTGTAATGCTTTTGCGCTACCGCTCACAGGATGAGTATGGGGTGCACAATAAACTAGCCGCCTTCGGCGGCAACAATCAAATGACAAAGGGCTCGCGGAACGCCAGGCGAGTGTCTTACCACTACACCACGGAGACTATATTAACACTGAGATAAGGACTGTTCCTGAACAAATAGCCTGGATGTGTCCCAACGGAAATGTGTATGATATTCTGAGAGATACAAGAATTCTTCACCAAGTTTGTAACCTTTTGTTGAATGGTCTCAATGTCTATTGTAAATTGTCTGTGTATCTAGTCATACAAGTGTGATTTTGCCCGAAACGCATTGCGTAATAGTGGCTTTAGGCATTGTATGTACTAGCTCTATCTATATATCAATCCATTAATGTAACATCACTTGTATGTATGTACCTTATCTGAATAAACATATTTATTTATTATTATTATAAGTATTTATGTGTACGTTTGGTAACATACTACATGTGTAAAGGAAGAAATGTATATGTCTATCACTCTGATTGTTCGGTAATATGCTTATTGGTTGTGATGCGTGTCTATATATATATATATATATATATATATATATATATATGAACACGTTGTACTGAACGGGGTGAGAATAGCTTGAGCTACCTCATCCCTTTGTGTGTATCTATACCTCAATAACTTATTTCAATTTCAACCAGGGCCTTACCTATCAGTATTCTTCATGTACTCGGCAATATTACCAACCCTTTCATTCCATTCGAGAGATAATTACTATCCACTAGTGTCTATCCTGCAAACATTAATTATGCCATTATCATAATAAAAACATCTTGTAAAACTATAATGTCTCGCGTTGAGTAGACACTCAGAAAGTGTCACCAGATCACTGGAACTCTATAGCAACCTACCCCACCCTCTCATGCTGCCACAACCGGACAGAAAATGGTGTATTAAAACGCTCGAGCATACCCTAACCTAACCAACTGACCCACCCATAGAAAACGTAAATGTTTGAGCCGCTACGATTGGTAGTACTCCCCATTATTTGACTATTGGGCATTCTGACACCGTCGAAATGCGGTGTATTATTCGTGAGAACAGCTGAACTTTGAAGAGCTCCGCGCAGGTTCCCCGAGACACCCAGAAGGTTTAGTTAGTTTAGTTCATTTATTATGCACCCCATACCCATCTTGTGGGCGATAGTGGAAAGGGTTACAGAGGCACATAATGGGCTCAGGGACTGAACCCCACAATTCATTTAGCTAAGCAAAGTTACAATCTTGATGAGCTAGTTACAAAATTCAGTATAAGTCGTCACATCAACAATGGGTTCGAGATCGACCTCAAGTACAGGTTCTAAATTAAGCAACTGGCATATGTGGAGAGCTAGTGTCAAAATTCATATGTTTGTCCTGCACACCGCCCCCCATCCAGTGGGCAGCGGTGGATAGGTTACACCGCACCCCATCCAGTGGGCAGCGGTGGATAAGATACAATCACTTAGTTACTACCTACAGTTAGCAAACTGAGATATTTGGTTAAAATTTCTGGTAGCAGATCATTTTGAATGAAATATTTACACATCGTTGGACCCAGAAGGACTAGAAAAATAACAGCAGTGTTGTGATAGGTTGTGGTAATACCCTTTGTACAGTACCTCCTTATGGGGCAGCGAGAGCCCCTTGTACAGTACCCCCTTTATGGGGCAGCGAGAGCCCCCTTGTACAGTACCTCCTTATGGGGCAGCGAGAGCCCCTTGTACAGTACCTCCTTACGAGGCAGCGAGAGCCCCTTGTACAGTACCTCCTTACGAGGCAGCGAGAGCCCCTTGTACAGTACCTCCTTACGAGGCAGCGAGAGCCCCTTGTACAGTACCTCCTTACGAGGCAGCGAGAGCCCAAGGTACAGTACCTCCTCATGGGGCAGCGAGAGCCCCTTGTACATCCTGCCTCACGGCTCTCCTCTTTAATTACTCCTAAGGGCACAAGTAAATATTGATAAACATGAACCTAAAAGTTAAACCCCTAATCAAGGCAGACATTAAAAACTTCTAAAACAACTTCAAGGTAGATAATTATCAATTAAGGCATCACGAGAAGTCCGTAGTAAGACTGAAAAAAGTAATACTTAAGTGGGCCAGCCAAAGACTTGGGTATAGAGCAGGAAAAATCAAAGAGGCTCCCTATATTTCCATTTCCTTAGTGCTGTTCCGAGCAATTTATATCTTACTCGTCAGTGGCCTGGTCGAGGACCGGGCCGCGGGGACGCTAAGCCCCCCGAAATCATCTCAAGGTAAGGTACTCCTAAACTATCTATCGCAATTGTTCAATAGATCACAACATTTCAAGATCGATTAAACCGATATACCGACACGCCAGTATCGGTATATCGATTTATATATATATATATTATATATATATATATATATATATATATATATATATATATATACATATATATCGGTAATAATACATACGTTGGTGTAAATATTTGTACCCCATATGTACCTCTAACGTCGCGCTGAAGTACAAAGTACAGTACCGTATGTAGTACTGAAAAGCGACCTGTGAGTACCGTAACGTCTCGTCTGAGTCGGCCCAGTACAGCTGTCTCCAGGTCAACGTGTCAATCACAGTACAGCTGTCTCCAGGTCAACGTGTCAATCACAGTACAGCTGTCTCCAGGTCAACGTGTCAATCACAGTACAGCTGTCTCCAGGTCAACGTGTCAATCACAGTACAGCTGTCTCCAGGTCAACGTGTCAATCACAGTACAGCTGTCTCCAGGTCAACGTGTCAATCACAGTACAGCTGTCTCCAGGTCAACGTGTCAATCACAGTACAGCTGTCTCCAGGTCAACGTGTCAATCACAGTACAGCTGTCTTCAGGTCAACGTGTCAATCAAAGTACAGCTGTCTCCAGGTCAACGTGTCAATCACAGTACAGCTGTCTCCAGGTCAACGTGTCAATCACAGTACAGCTGTCCTAGAGTCAACGTGTCAACTCTGAGTGACCGACATTATTCCACATATCCAGGGAGCAGAAAATTCGATTTTGTCAGCTCCGCGACATAAATACTTCGGGGGGCCGACTAAATATTAGTACTCGTGTGCTACCCACCTTCCAAGAGCTTGGAGACCGCGTCCTCTATGCCCTTCTCCTTCGGCTTGTCGTTGTGGCTCTTGCTACCCGAGGTGGTGCTGCCAGACGCCATGAGGAGTCGCTGTTTGGAGAGAGAGAGAGAGACAGACGTGTCATAAGAGGGTGGTGGGCACATCTGTTATGACGGGGGGGGGGGCAGGTGGGAAGGGCACACCTGTCATGACGAGGGTAAGGGAAGGGCACACCTGTCATGACGAGGGTAAGGGAAGGGCACACCTGTCATGACGAGGGTAAGGGAAGGGCACACCTGTCATGACGAGGGTAAGGGAAGGGCACACCTGTCATGACGAGGGTAAGGGAAGGGCACACCTGTCATGACGAGGGTAAGGGAAGGACACACCTGTCATGACGAGGGTAAGGGAAGGGCACACCTGTCATGACGATGGGTAAGGGATGGGCACACCTGTCATGACGAGGGTAAGGGAAGGGCACACCTGTCATGACGAGGTTAAGGGAAGGGCACACCTGTCATGACGAGGGTAAGGGAAGGACACACCTGTCATGACGAGGGTAAGGGAAGGACACACCTGTCATGACGAGGGTAAGGGAAGGACACACCTGTCATGACGAGGGTAAGGGAAGGGCACACCTGTCATGACGAGGGTAAGGGATGGGCACACCTGTCATGACGAGGGTAAGGGAAGGACACACCTGTCATGACGAGGGTAAGGGAAGGACACACCTGTCATGACGAGGGTAAGGGAAGGGCACACCTGTCATGACGAGGGTAAGGGATGGGCACACCTGTCATGACGAGGGTAAGGGAAGGGCACACCTGTCATGACGATGGGTAAGGGATGGGCACACCTGTCATGACGATGGGTAAGGGAAGGGCACACCTGTCATGACGAGGGTAAGGGAAGGGCACACCTGTCATGACGAGGGTAAGGGATGGGCACACCTGTCATGACGAGGGTAAGGGAAGGACACACCTGTCATGATGAGGGTAAGGGAAGGGCACACCTGTCATGATGAGGGTAAGGGATGGGCACACCTGTCATGACGAGGGTAAGGGAAGGACACACCTGTCATGACGAGGGTAAGGGAAGGGCACACCTGTCATGATGAGGGTAAGGGATGGGCACACCTGTCATGACGAGGGTAAGGGAAGGGCACACCTGTCATGACGATGGGTAAGGGATGGGCACACCTGTCATGACGATGGGTAAGGGAAGGGCACACCTGTCATGACGAGGGTAAGGGATGGGCACACCTGTCATGACGAGGGTAAGGGAAGGGCACACCTGTCATGACGAGGGTAAGGGATGGGCACACCTGTCATGACGAGGGTAAGGCAAGGGCACACCTGTCATGACGAGGGTAAGTGAAGGGCACACCTGTCATGACGAGGGTAAGGGAAGGGCACACCTGTCATGACGAGGGTAAGGGATGGACACACCTGTCATGACGAGGTTAAGGGAAGGGCACACCTGTCATGACGAGGGTAAGGGAAGGGCACACCTGTCATGACGAGGGTAAGGGAAGGGCACACCTGTCATGACGAGGGTAAGGGAAGGGCACACCTGTCATGACGAGGGTAAGTGAAGGGCACACCTGTCATGACGAGGGTAAGGGAAGGGCACACCTGTCATGACGAGGGTAAGGGATGGGCACACCTGTCATGACGAGGTTAAGGGAAGGGCACACCTGTCATGACGAGGGTAAGGGAAGGGCACACCTGTCATGACGAGGGTAAGGGATGGGCACACCTGTCATGACGAGGATAAGGGAAGGGCACACCTGTCATGACGAGGGTAAGTGAAGGGCACACCTGTCATGACGAGGGTAAGTGACGGGCACAACTGCCATCGTGGAAGATTGGGCACACAGTTGAGAGGCGGAACCAAAGAGCCGAAGGTCAACCCCCCCCCCCCAAGCACAGCTAGTATATAATTACTAGTATATAATACAGTAATATATTATTACTGGTATATAATTACATACAAGGTCTGAATACTTTCACTACGAAAAAAAAATATATATAAACTATATCAATACTTAGGCTCCAACGACTAAATTGCACCTTAGAAACCATATCCATGCCTGAGCACCCAAGTTAAGAGATTTCTCTCCTTGATACAGTGCTCCAACACACATCCAGTTTCATCTGCAGACACAGAGACCTAAAAATTTAAACTTTATCTTACTGAAGTACTTTCAGAGCTCTAGGGTAAAGGTGGGGGGGGGGAGGGTAGAGTTCAATGTGGGTGGACCTGGGATTAGTGGGTGTGAGGTGCACCTGACGTTAGTGTTAAGTGTTCAGCACATACTCCACCTACCTGTGCTACTTACGGGCTCACCATAGCCCGTGCTACATGGACATTTCGTTCCGAGTAGCTAGCAACATACTCCATGAGCTATTACGGGCTATTCATGCCCGTGCCACCTCTTGGGTGGCTTAATATTCATCATTCATCAATCACTCCACGAGTTACAGTCCCGCTCCTGTGTTAGATAAGTCCACTACGGGCTCACCGGGATGGGAGCCGGTGGCTGAGCGGACAGAACACTGGACGCGTGATCCTGTGGTCCCAGGTTCGATCCCGGGCGCCGGAGAGAAACACTGGGCAGAGTTTCTTTCACCCTGATGCCCCTGTTACCTAGCAATAAATAGGCACCTGGGAGTTAGTCAGCTGTCACGGGGTGCTTCCTAGGGGTGGAGGCCTGGTCGAGGACCGGGCCGCGAGGACACTTAACAGCCCTGAAATCATCTCAAGATAACCTCAAGAATCACCATAGTTCCTCAAGTGCTACTTGGAACTTTTTATTCCTAGTGGCTGAATCTAAAAACTAACAACGACGTACACCACGAGCACACACGAGACACCTTAAGGTGAAGGGGGGTAGAAATAGCCTAAGCTACTCTATCCCTTTGAGATGTATTTCTTTCTTATCTCAATAAACATACTTGAACTTGAACCTTAAGGTGTAATGTTCAGTCCGTGAGAGCCCACACAACGTCCCGGGTTGTATGCAAATCTACTTTACTATTAGACACCAAATTCACAAAATCTGAACATTTACAAATTTTCACAAAGTGCGTGTGTGAAGCAGACATTCAACCCCTCGCACTAACACCAGCGGGGGCACTCTCGTGCACTTATTCAGTTCCCAAGCAACAATTATCTATTAACCAACCCTACATTTTGTCTGTTGCCGTTTATGTAATTCGGCCTTACAACATTACGCGCACACTATCAGCTTGTTAAGGCAGGGTTTGACACCAAGCAATTTTCTCCAACTCTAGCAGTCACTGTTGTACCTGAGTGCGAGTTTAGTAACACCAAACTATGCGAATGATATATATTCAGTAAATCAACATTATACATAACTTGAGACAATCGACTTGAGATTGGTCCAGGACGGACCGAAACGTCGTCGTCCCTTCAACTTCTAGTGTGTGGTCTGGTCAACATACTTCAGCCACGTTATTGTGACTCATCGCCTGCATTATACATAATATTATATATAATTATAATTATTAAATACACACAGTTTGGCGTATTTACTAACTGTATTCACTATTTGTGCCTGTAGGATCTAGCTGTTAAGCTCTTGGACCCCGCCTAACAGTCTGTTGATCACTGTACTGACTCCAGACCTAATTTTCTCTACAGTGCACTATCTACTACATATATTTCTTTCTCTCTCTGTCTCTCTCACACACACAGACGAGCGGTCAACATCCCAGAGATTCAGTCCACTGAACTGGGTTCGATTCACGGACGAGGCCGAATGTAGTTTCTTTCGCCTGATACACCTGTTCACCTTGCGGTGACTAGGAATGCACGCGCGTGTGTGTGTGGTGCGCTAGCGTGTAACACTGACACAAACATAAGTGCATATATAAAAGTAACGTTATTTTACATAATAGACATTTGTATTCAAATACGCAAACGTTACGCGTTCTAGTAATCGATGAGAATAATAATATTCTTGTTATATTGTGAGAAATACATTATTGTAGGTAATAATGGGGACAATAATAACAATACTGTGGACAATACGTCGGCAGCGCTGGGTGGGGGGGGGGGTCACCACGCCACCGGCGGCGCTCAGGTAATACCGACAAGTTAAATTCTGTAACGGCTTTTGAGTGAAGCTAATAACAGCATTCATTATACGTCACACTACACCAAATTAACAAAAAGCAATTAGCCAACTTCAACAATCATCGTCAACCATTCAACCAAACGGGATCGCACTTTCTACCAAATCTATTCTGTCACAAGCTGTAAATTATCAGCCTAGTTTCCTTCTACACGGGATAACAGTTCTGGGACTTACGGATGAACTGAAACTTAAGACCTTCTCAAGAATGAACTTGAGTGTCATCGATGCAAGAGGCGGTGAGCAGTTACTAATGAGTTTCCATCTGCTTTAGTCACACATTTTGGTCACGTTACCGATTGATTGACAGTTGAGAGCCATCAGGACCAAGGTGGGACCAAAGAGCCAGGACCCGGATTCACGAAGCAGTTACGCAAGTACTTACGAAAGTATACATCTTTCCTCAATCTTTGACGGCTTTGGTTACAGTTATTAAACAGCTTACAAGCATGAAAACTTGCCAATCAACTGTTGTTATTGTTATAAACAGCCTCCTGGTGCTTCGGAGTTCGTTAACTGTTTAATAATTGTAAACAAAGCCGCCAAAGATTGAGAAAAGATGGACAGGTTCGTAAGTGTTTGCGTAACTGCTTCGTGAATCTGGCCCCAGAGCTCAACCCCCGCAAGCACAACTAGTTGAGTACATGACCACCAAACGTCGTAATATTATTAATAATAATATTAAACAACAATATTATTAAATATTAATATACTGTTTTATTATTATTATTATTATTACTGCGCAAAGAATCACATAAACGTGATGTATTATTGAGATACTCAGTTGGAGTCGTGATGAGTATTCGAACCTGCTTGGAAGTACCCAGAGTGCAGGTTGGAAATCATCTTCATGGCTCTAATTGATTATATCATATTACCATTATTGATAACCTTATGAGCTCACGGAAGTTGGCTGAACAGTTCTCAAGAGACATCAAGGTATTT